CTTTTTCTAGGATCTTGTTTAGAATTCCTTGTAGTGCTGGTTTGGTATTCATGTAGTTTCTCAGGTGTTCTTTGTCGTGGAAGTGTCTTATTTCCCCCTCCATTTTGAAAGAGTGTTTTGCTGGATACATCAGTCTAGGTTGGAGGTTGTTCCCTTTTAGTCCTTGAAATATCTCATTCCAGGCTCTCCTTGCCCCAAGGGTTTGTGTTGAAAAGTCTGCTGTGATTCTGATGGGCTTTCCTTTGTATGTGATTTGTTTCTTTTCTCTTACTGCTTGTAGTATTTTGTTCTTCTGTTGGGTTTCTGCGATTTTGATTTTTATATGTCTAGGTGTATATTTTTTTGATTGTAGCTAGTTGGGGTCCTATATGCCTCAGTTATCTGACTGTCAAATTCTTCCCCTCTGTTTGGGAAGTTTTCTGTCATTAATTCTGCAAACAGCTTTTTTAAGTCATTTGTATTATTTTCTCCTGCTACTTCATGTATTCCTATCAGTCTTATGTTATTCTTCTTTGCATCAGGTAGGAGTTGTTGGATCGATTTCTCATGATCTCTTACTGTTTTTAAGAGACCTCTCTTTTCCTGGTCACTGACTGCAATCTTATCTTCTATATCTGAGAGCCTATCTTCACATTCTTTTATTCTGTTGCGTACACTTTCAATAGAGTGTTTAATCTCCTGGATGTCTGTTTGAATCTGTTTTACGGATTCCATTTCTTTCCTATGTTAGGCGTTTATTTTTTCCATTTCTTTCTTATGCTGGGCTTCTATCATGGTCCTGAGCTCATCCATTTTTCTGTCAGTTTCTGCTCTAGAGTCTCGAATCACGACTTCCATTTTGCTCCCTATCTCTATGGTTATCTGGGAAATTATTTCTGTTTTGAATTTTTCTAGAGCCTGATTGATCTGTTTTGTTATTTCCTGTGCTTTGAGTTCAGGGTGTCCTGGTCATTCACTATTGGCCTTTTCATCCTCATTTGTGTCGGGGCCCAGTCAGGGCACACTGGAGTTTGACATTTGGAAAATAATTTCTTCCTGTACAATTAAGGCATCAACACAATCTATGCAACATTTGTTACTTTTCAAGGAAACTGTTTGTTAAGCTTGTTTTGTTCTTTGACCCTTCCATAACAGGAACTCATTAGCCGAAGATCTGATGTTATCTGTAAAAGTCAGGAAATCCGGTCTTTGCATAAAGATAAAAATGATTGCTTGGTGTTTTCTGTTGTTCTGTGACCTTAAAAGCTTCCTGTTGATGTGAGCCTATAAGAGGAGCTGTTTCTGTGAAATAAATCAGACTTCTCTTGGTCTCCACTCAGGCTTGAGTGTTCTTTCCTTTCTCAATCCTCACTCCCCAACTCAGGCACATTAGTGTTGTGACGGCTGGACAGCCACAATTTGCCCTACTGTTTGCCATTGGTGAACTGGAAGTCTGTCCTTGTGTCTTGCTTAAGTGTTTACTCATTTTAATTTTTGTTTTTGGACTGTCCTTGGTTTAATCTCTGGATTATCACCCAAATCTTCCTGATACAGTTGCACCCTAGCTTCTGTGTCTCTAATGACCCACGAACATTCTCATCTTCATAACATCAGAGAAAACAGCTCATCAAATCAACGGCAATGCTTTACCCCAACTGATACAATCAGCAACACATTAAGATCAAGCACAACTTGGACACTGACCACCTGTGGTAGTCACTAGTCTATCACCCTTAAATCATTTGAATTAAATTGAAATCAAGAAGCAGTCCAGAACATGTCTGCAGTGAATAAACTTTTCAGTAGAGTGTATTTACCATTTAATGGCTCAGACAGAGCGAGGATGCAAGACCCCTGATCTCAGTTAGCTGATTGCTGAACCCCATGACGCTGACTGACCTCGGGCCGCAAGGCCCAGATTGAGTTCCCCATCCTTCTGAATGGTTGAACTCTGCAACGTTCTATTACAGGTTTCCCCCGCCCTTTCTTTAAAGATGTTCAAAGCTGGGAACTCAGAAAAATACCCTAGATGACCACCTCTGTCTTTGCAGAGTGGGTCCAAAGACTTGCACAGTCAGGAGGTCTGAGAGTGCATGGCGGGGGGGCCTTATGGGGGTTCAGGGGTGCCTGCGCGGCTACCTTCCCGGTGCTTGAGCGATGGCAGCTGGGTCGGGAGCAGGTGTGGTTCTCCTTCCCACGGTGGATCAGGGCCAGCCTATCTTCCTGGTGCTGGGTCGGGAGCAGGCGTGGTTCTCCTTCCAGTGGTGGATCGGCCCGGCCTACCTCCCAGCGCTTGAGCGATGGCTGCTGGGTCGGGAGCAGGCATGGTTTTCCCTCAATGTACTATTTACTTTTAAATGTTTGAATGTTTTCATGTTTCAAAATTTCATATAAAAATACTGAACTGAAAATTTTTGGTAATGAAATGTATAACGGTTCCAAATCTATAACATAAGAAAGAGTTTATAAAAAAAAAAAAAAAAAAAAAAAAACACCAGTAAAAAAAAAAACAGCCAGGGATTTAGCTCAGTGGCACCGTGCCTGCCTTGCATATGTAAGGTCCTGAGTTCAATCCCCGGTACCAAATAACAACAACAAAAAAAAACCCAAAACAACAACAACAAAAATACAAGGGAAAAGACTTCTAAGAAACAAAGTTTCAATGTTAAGGCTCTCAGTCCCCTGGTGGCTATAAAGCCTGGATAACCCTCATCTCCCTTGCCCCCATCATAGGGCAAGTCCACCAAAGCTGCCTCTCTCCAGCTAACAGAACTAGCCAGAAACTGGCTTCACAGAGCAATCTCTTTGTCGTGGTTTCTCAGATCTGGGGTAGGGGTAAGAATGGGAAGCAAAGTGTTGCTTGCTGTAACACAATGATCCTTCTGGCCTCTGAAGCAAACTATCTGACAAAACAATCCTCATTAAGACATTCCTATCAGCTTGAACCACCAGTGGTACCTGCATGACTGTCCTATCAGATGACTTGCACTACCCAAAGGGACTGCCCCATGCTGCCCAATAGGACATGCATCTACCACCAGTGGCTCAGAGCACCCACCTGTGAGACATGCGAATTATGGCCCCATCATAAACATGTTAAATCTGAAGGCTGTAGGCCCTCAGTTCAAGGATCACAACATGTGAATGATGAAAATAAAAATGACCCTCAGTCTTTCTTTAAATTGTTAAGTCTCATAATGGCCTGGTGAGTTATGACAATGAGTTCTTGCATTGCTACATCTTACTGGAAGCTACAGATGAGATACTCGTCCTTTCTTTCAACTCCTTGTCTAAAAAGTAAAGATGAAACACACCAAGACCACTCACCAATTTATGTGATTTTAGTATCTATTTAAGAAGCAACAATAGCAAATTAACTTCAGCCTCATAATAACTGTTATATAAGGTTAAAAAGCCATTATCTGCACAGCATAATTCTTTTTATACAACTAGTCTCCAACACAACATATATTTAAAGCCATGATTTTGAATTACTATAAAGTGTATGAATATCTCCCACTCCAATTTCTTAATGCCGTTTCTCTTTTTAAATATTAATATAATTAGTGGGGTTGGTTTATCTTATATAAGTGAATATGTAATGTAATGAAAAATACCTCAGGTTCAGGTTTAAATCATTTTGTATTTAAGCACTGATTATACAAATGCATAAAAGTGAACTAATTTACAGTGTGACTTGTTGATGCAAGGTGCCTTCAAAATATATTGCAGCTAAAATAGGTATAAGATTTTACATGCATTTTGGAAAAAAAATCACACAGAAACAGATGCTTTTTCAATAAATCTCGCCAGCTGCACATCTCTTCTGGTCAGTCCACCATAGTCGTGTGATGTGAGAGTTATTTGGACCTAAGAAAGAAGAAAGCAGCTTGTAAAACTATGAGCTGCACTTCATGGAATTCTCCTCAAGCAGTTCAGAAATCAGTCTATTATTCATCATTCATATTAGAGAACTGGGGATATTCAGACAATTCTACCTTATGAATAAACATTGTATTTCCAAAGCCCAGGGAACTCCAGGGGCACAGTGTGCGTCAGGCCAGGCCCAGCAGCCACCTCGGACAAAAGGTTCTAACAGGATGAGACAGTTCATCTGCCAGAATCTCAAATGCTGTTTCTTGGAGGCAGGGGAGAAACAGGTTCCATTTTGATTCCCATTACTTTAATTACACTGACTATTTTCAGGGTACTGAGAAAAATCATACTATCAAATGCAGTATATTAGCAGGGTTGTTTAAAAAAAAAAAAAGCACATTTCCAAATTAGGAAAGGGTTGGGGGTGGGGGAAGGCAGTGTATAGAACACTGCTTTTTGACACACCAATTAGAAAGCAAATGCAAAGTTATGAGCAAAAACTAGGAGAGAAAAGTATCCTAGTACTATACTACAGTGTTTTAAATTATTCCAAAAATTGTAAGAATGGGGAATTTTTTTTTAAAGAGAACTTCCAAAGAGAAAAACCCTCACAGAAACCTGGATGGTTAAAAAATTCCAAATGACATGAACATTAGGGCAAGGATATTTTATAATTCTTCTCACTGCATCCCTTAAAACTTTTTAGTCTGCCCTTTGAGGATTCAGAATTTAATAAACAGGTATTATGTAAAGTACAGTTCCTGAGAAAATTTATTTCAATGAGATAAATACGGGCCATATCTATCTTATCCACCATTTCTTTAAATAAATTACTTTCAATCTAAAAATTTACTTGCATGGGTGACAGCCAAGTTTAATTTAGGAACCTCATTTGGCCCAAGTCGCTCATATAGCTTCATTAGAAGACAATTAGGAAAATAAAGAGCTTATTCACTGTTCTTTTGAGCAGACTTGAAATTTGTTACTAATTTGCAGTTATACACAAGGATTCAAAAAGGAGAAAATACTTTCTTAAACACAATAAGATTTTGCTGCACAAGATGATAAAGAAGAAAAGTAGAAAAAAGTTTCTTTTTTAAAAATTTAAATTGAATTTATTGGTACATTCTAGGTATACAGTACAGTTACATTCATTACTGGGATCTTGTACCTTTACATGACAGGTCTTGGTTCTCATTTTTTCCCCTTGACCCCACCCTCCCTTCACTCCCTCCTCCCCTCCCCACCTTCAAACACTTTAATTCCATTTTTACATTTTCTCATATTTTAGAAAAAAGTTTCTTAAACTCCACAATTAAAGTGATCCCAAAATAAGGCAATTTAGTTACCTTGTTGTATACATTGAACCATTCCGGGTGATGATTTATCTTCTCTGCTTGTAGGGCAACTCGGGACATAAAGCCAAAAGCCTGTTCAAAATGAAGTCAAAAGTAATTACTGACGCTGTCTTCCACCCTATGCCTGATAGAGACTCCAGAGCAAAACAAAGAGATAACGACATTCAAGGATCCTTAGGGAAGCCTGGAGAAATAAAAAAAAAAATGAAAGGACTGCTCTCTGCAGTCCTAGTAGCAACACAGCAGACTGTGCCCTGCCACTTGGTAGTGAAAACAACTGAACTCAAATAAACAAACCAGGAAATTGGTCTCACCGAGTGACCTGTTTGGACTGTTTAATTGTCTTCAAGATGAGACTTTCCAAAACAGCAGAGGAACAATTTCCCTTCAATACAGTACTGAGTCTCACTATTGGCCCCAAATCTTAGCAGCCACTTTACTTGCACGGCTCTGTTCCTTTTGTTCTTAGTGACTGGGTTGCTAAGGTATCAACCATAAAATTATGGAAAAAGGTCTTCTGAGTGTAACTTTGAGCAAAGGGACTGGCAGAAAGAAACAACTTCCTCACCCCACCTCTCAGGCAAGAGGGAAAGGAATAAAGGACAATTTCCCCTGCCATCCAGAGTGGAAGAGAAAGCTTAGCTTGCCTGCTCACCACCGGGTTGCTGCTTTCTGGTGATGAGGTGATAGTACGTCTGCCTCAAGCAGAAGACAAGCTGGAAGTGAACAGAAGGCAGCAACCTAGCACCAGCTGGCAGTGGATTACAGGGGCTCTGTCTTCATACCATGGGGTGGGTGGAACCATGAAGCAGAGGGCAAACTTGTTTTGAGAGGAAAAACCTTTTTTTCTACTTGCTTTCAAATTTTTATGAGGGTAGTTGCAAACAACAGAAGTCTCTATTGTGTCCAGAAGGCAGGAACACTTGGTAAGGCTTAGGTAATGGTACACTGATTACAGTTACACCGCAATTCACAGGTCAGTATGCATTATACCATTGCACCCACATAAATGAATATTTAGCCTTCATTACGCCATTCAGAAAAACAAATACAGTAATAGCTGAGCTGTTTTGACATAAGAGCACATTTCCTAGTTAACAATGAGAAATTTGAGTAATGGTGCCATTTTCAATAATTCTCCAACATTCGTTACAGTTCCTATCTCAGAGCCAACTTTATTTGTTTGGTATAGTGCACAAGTCTTTGTGAGAAATGAGAAAAGGAAAGGGCTACTCTGGGAGAGAGCAACTGTATTTTAGATTCTCAAGCCTATGAGAAGAAAGCTTTCCATTTTGATAAAGATTTCCATTTTGACATTGAAGGCCTGAAAATCTTCCCATTAAGACAAGGGAGGAAATTCAAGCAAACTCCATTTAACCATGTATGGTACTATCCATGGAAAACAATATTCACTTTCCCAGACCTCCTCATTCCATAATCTGGGGGTACAAGTAGGATGGGAAAGTCTGTTTTAATTATTCAAACCCAGAGTTAACTTGAATTAAGTGATGTATAATGAGAATTTCTACTCTGCCTTGTTTAGTATTACAACACTAAATCACCATTGACAGTAACACAGCTGTTAAAAGTGTAACCCAGTGATGGCGAACCTTTTAGAGCTTTCAGTGATACAAACAGCCTGCTGCAGCACGAGGGCCACACGTTTGCCTCCACTGTAGTCTCTTGAGCCATGGAGTTCTGGTTCCAATTCTGACTCTATCATTTAACTGTTATGTGTCTAAACTCCAAAGCTCCATTTCCTTATCAACAGAATGGGCATAATAATAAAAACTCAAAGGTGAAGAGAGGGCAGGGAATGGAAAAAAAAATAAGAACCAGGACATACCACGTAAAGGTATAAGATCCCAATGATAAATGTAACTGTATTGTTTGCCTTAAATGTACCAGTAAACTTAATGGAAAAAAAATAATAAAAACTCACATAATCATTCTAACAACAACAACAAAAAAAAGTAAGGGGCCAGTGATTTAGCTCAGTGGTTCTACCACCTGCCTTACAAGCACAAGGTCCCAAGTTCAATCCCTGGTACCCAAAAAAAACAAACAAACAAAAAAGTAAGGCATGTAAAGGCGTTTAGCAGAGCCCTTGGCACAAAACAAAAGATCAATAATGGCACATACTACTACCACTACTGCTGCTGACTGGATTTCATAAGATAAACCCTACAAACTGCAATATGAGTTGAAAAGCTTTCTCATAGGCTTGAGAATCTAAGATACAGTTGCTCTCTTCCAGAGTAGCCCTTTCCTTTTCCCATTTCTCACAAAGACTTCTGCACTATACCAAACAAATACACTGTGGGCTGCCACCCTGATGGTCACTGACTGAGGAAACAGCTTAATGGCAAGAAACAGTAGGCACAGTCACTACAAAGTACTTAAGCCCTGTAGCCGTAATTTCTTTGAACTGTGTCATCCTACAAGGTCCAAAGTGATGCCTAGAATCCCTTACCATTTCCCAAGAGCCAAATGAATCGAGTGAATGATTTGGACACAGTCAGAAATGTTCTTCAAAAGTGGGAAGGGGAACAAAGGAAGGGGAAGAGAAGCTTTTAAGGGGCTTTTTTTTTTTTTTCAGCTTTAACTGAGTTTATTGGTACATTTTAGGGATACAGTACAGTTACATTCATTGTTGGGATCTTGTACCTCTACATGACAAGTCTTGATTCTCATTTTTTCCCCTTACCTCTGCCCTCCCTTCACCCCCTCCACACCTCCCCATCTACAAACACTTTATTTTCATCTTTTCATTCTCTCACATTTTTTTCTTAAGAGGCTTTTAAAAAAAAGAATAGAAGGCCCCGATCCACTGCGGGAAGGAGAACCACACCTGCTCCCGACAGCAGCCATCGTTCAAGCGCCGGGAGGTAGGCTGGGCCCCAATCCACGGAGGGAAGGAGAACCACGCCAGCCCCCGACCCAGCAGCCATCGCTTAAGCACCGGGAGGTAGGCCGGCCCCGATCCACCGCAGGAAGGAGAACCACGCCTGCTCCCGACCCAGCAGCCATCACTCAAGCGCTGGGAGGGAGGCTGGGCCCGGATCCACCGAGGGAAGGAGAACCACGCCTGCTCCTGACCCAGCCGCCATCGCTCAAGCACCAGGAAGGTAGCCGCGCAGGCACCCCTGAACCCCCATAAGGCCCCCCACTGCACTCTCAGACCTCCTGACTGTGCAAGTCTTTGGACCCACTCTGCAAAGACAGAGGTGGTCATCAAGAGTATTTTCTGAGTTCCCAACTTTGAACATCTGTAAAGAAAGGGCGGGGGAAACCTGTAATAGAACGTTGCAGAGTTCAACCATTCAAAAGGATGGGGAACTCAATCTGGGCCTTGCGGCCCGAGGTCAGTCAGCGTCATGGGGTTCAGCAATCAGCTAAATGAGATCAGGGGTCTTGCATCCTCGCTCTGTCTGAGCCATTAAATGGTAAATA